CCCCTCCCCTCCTTCCTGTTTCTTCCTTGTCTGTTTTAGTATCAGGGTAATGTCAGCCCATAGAATGAGTTTGGGAGAGTTTCTTCCTTTCCATCTTTTAGAGTGATTTTTAAAGAATTAGTATTAGTTCTTTGAATACAGCAGTGAAGTCAGTTAATCTAAACTTTTCTTCGAAGGGAACTTTTTATTACTCAATCTCTTTAGTCATTATTGGTCTATTTCTTCTTGATTTAGTCTTGCTAGGTTGTATGCATCTAGGAATTTCTCCATTTCTTCTAGGCTTTCCAAATTGTTGGCATATAATTGCTCAGTAGTTTCTAGAGGTCTTTCACACTCAAAATTCCACATTCGTATTTTGTGGTATCCCTCGTAATCTCTCCTTTCTCATCTTTGATTTTATCTGAGTCTTTCTGTTTTTCTTAGCCTCGCAAACGTTTTGTTGATATTTTTCAAAGAAACAACTTTTCATTTCATTCATCTTCTGGTTTTTGTTTTGTCTCTCATTTGTTTCCATTCTGGTCTTTATTTCTTTCCTTTTATGAATTTTAGGTTTAGCTTTTTCTTGCTTTTGTAGTTCCTCGAGGTAGATCATTCTGGAGAGTTTGATTATTCTTCGGCAAATTTAACCCAGAGTCCCACCCCCTTGGGCGCTGGTGCTGGGTCAAGGGTCAGCAGAGCTGAGAGCCGACCAGTTCCACTGGTCTCTTTCTCAGAGACCAGCACCGAATCCTCAGTCCCTCTCTCCAGGCTTCTGCAGTCTTCCCGCCCAGAGCAGCTGGTCTCCTCCTGTTCTGAACCTCTGTCGGCCCCAACTGCAACCTTGCCAGGAGTCTGCCCGCATTGTTCTCTGGTTCTCCTGTGACAGCTCAGCTCCAAGCCACGGCTGCTGGTGTAGTGGCCAGAGGTGGCAGGGGACAGTGTGGGGACTACACACATCCCTGGTGTCCCCAAACTCCATCCCACCTTGTCTCCATGCACGTACTCCACCTGGAAAGGGCAGCTCCCGCACTGTCCATGCGACTCCCTGGGGGCCAGGCTGAGGGCATTGCGGCGACTCTCATTCTCCTATAGGACCTTCCTAGGTGCTGAGATTTGAAATGACTTTTACTTTTTTGTATGTTTCTTGGAATTTTTAACTTTTTAAAAAGAAGTAGGAATCCAAAAACTGCCATTTAAGAATAATCGTGGAGAACTCTGCACAGCGCCAGTTTCAGAGAGCCGCCTGATGACCACGGCTCTGAAGAGAACAGGCCTCCAAGATCACCCACAGCCACCTCAGAACCTCCCGCTCGGCCCAGCCCCGAGAGGGCTTTCTGGTTCTCGGGAGAAGAGTGCTTTGGTTTGGACTTGTTTTTTTGGCTATTGCTCATAAGGCTGCTTGCTTGGACCTCAGGAGGAAGCACAGCTTCTTGGCTAAAAATGGACTTGGAGGGCACACAGGTCTCCTGCTTACTACCTGGTGACACGGGGTGAGCCACGTGGCCTCTGCACCTCAGGTGCCTTTTCTCTCCAATTAGGTGATGCTACCAACATCACCAGGGGGGTGGAATAAGGCGCCTAGGACGGCCCCCTGTTCTGAGTGAATCTGCGCTGTTATGGTTTTAGGTTGCTATCTTGCCATTTCTCCACTCCTGGGCAACCAGAGTCTCAGATTTATTTTAATTAAACTGTGAGGTGAGTCGAGAAAGCAGGCTTTGCCCTCTAGGGAGGAGTGTGGGGTTAATTCAATACCTGCATCAACAGTGAAGGGAGTTATAACCTTCTCTTTCCAGAGGTCTGGTAATGTGAGTCTCTAGAACTAACTGGCAGTGGACAGATTGGCAGAAAGGGATAGGATGTCACTACGCGCACACTCACGGGAGCCTCACAAGGAGGACTTGAAGAAGAGCCAGATGGTCCGAGTTTTACAGTGCCCTAAGCAAAGGAACAGAATCGGGGAAATGCCTGGACATGGAAGGTGGGGACAAAGGCTGTCTTGTTAGGCAGATAGTCCCCCAGGGGGACCCTCAGAGAGGGAGGTAGGGGCTGAGCTCAAGTCTCCTTTCCTGTGATTCCAGTTACTCTTCTCTGTCGATGGGATTCCAGGGAGGGGTTCGTGATGTTGCCCTCCACAGCAACATCAAGGGTCTGATCAGGGAAAGTCAGAGAAAGCCCCTTCATGCTCCGGGGGAGAAGCACTGAGAGGCGGAAAGGCAGGAGAAGGTCAGAGAGAACTCGGTTTTTCTTTAAAACAAAACCAAAGAAAACACTATGCTTTGGGGTACTCTTTTCTGAGCCCTGACACCACCAGCCTTATGCATGTGGCTGCGTATGGTCTGCGGCATGTGTGGATGTGTAGGTAGCTCAAAAGTACACGCACATCCCTTTAAGAATGGCACAGAAAGTTCAAATACTTATTTCTCAGACATGAGCCTAAAACAGGACAGGCGCCTCCCTTCCAGGCTGAAGAGCACGCTTCGCAAGCCAGCACAGGGTGCCCAGACGCCAGGGCTCAGGATGGAATCTCTGAACACCACCCAGGTGATTTAGATCCCGTCTCTCCTCCTCAGTGCCCACGGCCTGGGCAGGGGACACAGTCGGGAATGCTGGGAGCTGGGAACTCACTCTTGGAGCAGGTTCCTGCCCCCTCCTTCCTGTTTTGTTTCCAAACTTACATTTCTCCTGTGTTCTGGTCCAGGAGACCTGAATTTGAGGCCCATGATTGAGTCTGATCTCTACCTAGGACCGCAGGACACGGCTGGAAGGACGGCTTCCTCTGTGGGCCACCGCCCCCCGGCATTAAGACATGTAGGCGTCCTGGACCTCCAGACTCCTGCTGAGGCCCTGTTCTGCCCTCAGCTGACCGGTGGTCCACAAACCCGTTGCTTGATGACCAAGGTGGGCTTGACTCCGTCCACCACAGTGGGGAGCCTTCGAGGCCCACAGAGAAACTGCTGAAGGCTGAGCTCCAGGCACTGAAGGAAAGGTCTGGGGCAGGACCGGGGAAGGCACAGTGGACCCTGCACTCCTTCCACCCACTTTTAGAGGTGGTTGTCTGCTCCTGGTGCTTGTCACCCCCATCCCTGGCTGCCCTCTGTGCCCCTCAGTGACTGTGACCTTGGCTGCCCTCTGGGCCCCTCAGTGACTATGAGGTCCCCCCCCACACACAGTTTGCCGCGCTTGCTGTAGATGGGCTTCTTGGAGACCGGGTGAGGAGCCCAGGCGTGTTGGGTAACACGCTTACCAGGAGCTTTTGATGTCTCCTGGTGCCTGAGTCACAGAGCCAGGCTCTCCGAGTGTTCCACGCCATCCGTCCCCCTGACCAACACTTTTGGGCCTCCAGATGACCCCTCTTCCACCCACCTTTATCTAGGTTGACTTTGACCGGAGGGCAGTGACGGTGAGAAGGCGAGGAGAGGCAGGTCCCCAATGCCCTCTCTGTGCACGTCGGTCCCTGGAATGACCCTCTGTCCCCCCCTACCCCAGAGAGCATGGACAGAGACACCAGGAGGAAGTCACCTCCGCAGACACACTTCACTCTTCCGACAAATCTTGCCGTGCCCCAGCTGCCTGCCCTCTAAGTCGGCTCTGCTGGGCCTCATCTCCAAGAACAGCCCACGCCCTAGACAGTCCCACAGGTCTAGAGGGCAGCAGGAAGTCAGGGTGGGGGTGTGGGGGTGTCATTGTTTTTAATGAAGACACTTCTGTGTGTAAAGTCTTCCTCCAGGTGTTGCCAAGAGGATTCCAAGACACATTAGACGGATGCTTTTAATACACATTTGAAAAATATTATGAGAAGCCCACGATTTACACACTTGTTACCAGTGAACCACATCATCTTGAGGGTCGGAAAGTGCTGACACAGCGAGGCCTTGCTGGAGGGAGGCTGGGATGAAGCACTGTGTTCTGTACGTTCTCTTCACCCAAAACTAGGAAGACGGGCCTTTTTTGGCCAAGGGCAAAGCTGTAGATTTCCATTCTCCCCTCTATCCTACATACTTTTTCCCCTGCACCGAGGACAAGACCCAGGGCTCACCCACACCAGGCAAGTGCTCCACCACTGAGCTACGCCTTAGCCCTGTCCATCCTCAACAGCCGGCCAGCGTGCTCACACTTGGTCCAGTTCCCCTGGTCTCTCGGCCTGCAGCCTGTGGCCATGGCTTATCTCAGCTGGATCAGACTGTGAATGTTTTTCATACAACCACCTGCATTTCTTCAGACCTCCAGGTCCCAGGAGGAACTTTCCTGGGGACTGGCTTATACGTTGTCTTTTGGGTTGTCTCACAGGTCAATAAAATTTAAATGGAAGTTTTTGTGTCCTCCACTCCAAGATCACTCACTGCACAGCATCGAGGAGCACAAAACCTGTGGTAAGGTGAGCTCTTTTTGGTGGGTTCACTAAGCTATCTCACAGAGGCAATTTGGTTCACCTTCTAGAATCACCAACAAGAACCCAAACCTAGAGCATCTTCGAGTCACTACAGGAGACAGAAACATCTTCCTAACATGCCATAGTGCTTCTGGACTCCACAAGACGATCATGTTCTCCTCCATCACACATATTTAAGCATAACTGGGATACAATTTGCTGGAAGAGCCGCCATGTTTAAAATCCAGTTCCTGCCAAATAATCTACACTGAAATGCTCTTGCCCACATGGAAACCCACAATTGCCAAGGCATTTTCTTCCAGAGTGTGAATAAAGCAATAGTTATTCTAGAAAAAAAATGCTACAGAGGTCTTTTAATAGCAATATTTAAATTCTCTTGGATCTTCAAATACTTTAGGTGATTAAGTGCTTGATACCCACCAAACCAGCAGTTCTCACTAGAAATGGATGAACAGGTAAAAGATAACCAGGGCTTCACAGGGTTAAAAAAGCAAGACAAAGTATGGCAGAGCCCACTCAGACCATTCTATAGGATTGATATTGATTGGGGGGCAGCAAGTCTGAGGGAAAATACAGAGAAGTCAAGACGTTTGAGACACGTCTGCCTTTTCTTCTCAGAGCCAGCTCCCTCTCAGGTGCCCTTGAGTTCCGACGCTTGGACCTGAAGGTAAATTGTGTTTTCTTTGGGCTTCGCTTTCCTGTGGCAACCAGAAATGAAAATTAAAAGTCAAAATTAAGAAGCAGTCAACATCTCCATTAGGGTTGCAAAGCTGTGTGCAGAGTATCTCAAACATACAGAGAGACCCAAACATACAGAGAGCAAGCGACGAGGAAAATGGGTTGACAAAGGAGCCAGGGCCAGGTCTGGCTTGTGGCCTGCTTGTGTCAGGTTTGTGAGTGGAGGTTTCTTATTATTATTATGTTTAAATTGGTGGAAAAAAATCAAAATGAAAATATTTTGTGGCACTTGTAAATGAAATTCAAATTTCCACGTCCATAGATAAACCTGTATTAGAAACCAGACTCACCCACTTAGGTAGGTGTTGTCTAGGCTGCTTTCTGCTATGGGGACAGAACTGAGTCACAGCAATAGATGCCCAGGCCTGCGGGATTCACCTGCCCGTTCAGGGGAATTTGGCAGCCCCCTGGGGTGGACGCCCATGGAGCTGCTGCCTACCACAGGCACCTAATAGTCAACACTCCATCTTGGATCTGGAGGCTGTGGGGGGGGGGGGGCTGTCATTAATCCTTCATCTGTAGAAGGAGTCTGCAAAAAACAGCAGGTGCTGAGCAGGGCTTGGGAGGATGAGGAGGACGCACCAAGTGCTTCCACTGAGCTGGGCAGGCAGTAGCACTCCACAAAGGTCAGTTAGGGCCACCACTGCACTCATCCCTGATGTCTCCCCAAAGCAGGGACATAGGAGTCACAGAAGTGATCACTCTGTCAATGGATTGGAACTGCGTATGGAGTTATATAGAGGAGAAGACAAACAATGAAATTGGGGTATTATGAAACGGGAAGAGCACTGTGGAGAGCAGAGGAGGTGTGGATGGGGGCTCGGGCCAGAGCACCTGGTCTCCCTGGAGGGCAGGTGTAACCATGGCAATGGAGTGAGTATTGAACACAGCACCCTAGGAGAGGACCAGGGGCCTGTCAACAAGATAGAAAGCAATACAGTAAACCCGACAATACAACATTCCTACCACCTGGACCCCAGAGAAGGACATCATCGGCCACTGGAGGAAGCGTGTGTTGGTTCAGAGAGCACCTGTCTGCGCGGGCATCACCGGCAGAGCTTATTCAAACAGCTGCCAGGGCCCCACTTTCATTACCTAAGTCAAGAACATTGGCGAACATTCTTGTTTATTGAATGTTTATGTTTAGGGCTAAGCATAGTGGGGTATCTAATCCCAGTTTGGATCTTAGCTATCGTGAATTCAGAAAATTTAAGATTACTTTCGTATTTGATTTTCATTATTATCAAGACTTTTTACGGTTTAATATTATTTTAATCTTATCTGATTAGTCTCTTAATCACGCTTTATGCCGTGTTTCATTAACTAGAGTTAATCGTATGACCGCGGTGGCTGGCACGAAATTTACCAACTCTTAATTTAGCTTAACTTAGTCAAACTTTCGTTTATAGGCTTAATTTTAATTACTGCTGTCTCCCGTGGGGGTGTGGTGGAGCAAGGCGTTATGAGCTACCAGGATTAGTGAACTTGATGCCTGCACCTTTTGATCAGTTAATAGATATAGAGGGCATTCTCACTGGGACGGGGATGCTCGCATGTATAAGTTAGCTAGAAGCTAACGAAAAGGCCAGGACCAAACCTATGTGTTTATGGGGTATAAATACCCATCTAAGCATTTTCAGTGCTTTGCTTTATTAAATTAAGCTACATTAACATATGAATTTTGGGGAGATATGCTTATATAAGATTTGGTAAACAGAGTTATATGTAAGTATTATTAGTGTAAGTATAATATAGTATAATTATATAAGGAGATTTAATCAAAATTTATTTATAAGTTTAATCTACTGAGAAAGAAGTTAATAAAATTTAAAGCAGGTAAGAAGATTTAAATAGGTTCGGAGAAAAAGATAATTGGTTAAACGTTTATTTTTGCATTTGGATCTACTATGGAATTTCTGTTTTAACTTTTTTTTTTTGTCTATCGAGCATTAAGCCCGACTATGGCAGATAGTAGTTATGTAAAGCGAGAATATTGACTAATAAGTCCAGCTACAATTGAATTGAATGGAACGAGGCCTCTGACGGCCAATGGTGAGTCCCTGCATCCCCCCAAAATTAAAACCACTAAAGGCATGACAGTGCAGTTATGTTGGGTCACGGGCTAGAATGGAACTAATCCATCGTGATGTCTTATTTAAGGGGAACGAGTGGGCGATTATGCGATTTATGGCCCTGAGGTAGGAACCAGATGCCAGATAAAGTACATAATTAGCTACCCCCAAGTTAAATGGGATCAGAGCAAGAAGAGGGACACGAGGTCGGCGAGTAGATGGTTTCACGGAGGATGGTAGATTATGAGACCAAAGTTGGTAGGGGATAATCATTTGAAGCGAGAAAGGTTTATGACTTAATGTGGTATGTACCGCCAGTGATATTAATGTGCTATGTACTTTGAACAGGGATTATTGGAGTGACCACAGTCGTATTGGCAAGCATTAAATGTGAAGTTATAAGGTACTGTATTATGTACTATGTTAGTATCATGAACGTGCTTATATGCATGGTGGGAGTATTATTAATGTTGATTAAACATATAATGTCCTATGTACATGGATTAGTAATGTCTTAATGGGGAAAAGCATTCAATGCACGATTTACATAGGAGAATGGATCATTGAATAAAAGTTGATAGTGACATAGAAGTCAAAATTTAAGCAACTGGTCGAGTGCAGGGAATAGTTTAAGTAAGGAATGTCAGCTTTGGGAGTTGAAGGTGGAAAGTATATTTTCTTCCCTGATACACTGCTCTAAGAAGCTTATAACTTCATTTTTGGTTTACAAGACCAAGGTAATATTTATACTATTAGGGCTCTTCATTTAAGAAGTTTATTTTCGATTAGGCTAACGGTTGGTAAAATTAAGAGAATAATAGCGAAGTATAGAATTGATGCTAGTTGGCCAATGATAATATATGGGTATTCAACAGGTTGTCCTCCGATTCAGGTCAGTGTAAATAGGTCTGCTACTAGGATTCAAAATATACATTGACTTAATGGTCGAAATATTATGCTACGTTGTTTAGATAAATGGAGTAGTGGAAAGAGTATTAAAATAAGAATTGAGAAGACTAAGGCTAAAACACCTCCTAGTTTATTGGGAATAGATCAGAGGATAGTGTAGGCAAATAAGAAGTATCATTCTGGTTTAATATGAGGTGGTGTACTTAAGGGATTTGCGGGTGTATAATTATCAGGATCTCCTAGAAGGTCGGGCGAAAATAAAACTAGGGCTATTAAAATTAGAATAAGGAGAAGAACTCCGAGGATATCCTTGATAGTGTAGTATGGGTGAAAGGGGATTTTATCTGAGTCAGAAATAAGGCCTGAAGGGTTGTTTGATCCAGTTTCATGGAGGAAAAGGAGATGAACTATGACTAGGGCTGCAATGATAAATGGAAGAACAAAGTGGAATGCGAAGAATCGTGTTAGAGTGGCTTTGTCTACTGAGAATCCACCTCAGATTCATTCAACTAAGGTTGTACCAATGTATGGAATAGCAGATAAAAGATTGATAATTACGGTTGCTCCTCAGAATGATATTTGACCTCAGGGGAGAACATAGCCTATAAAAGCTGTAGCTATTACTGCAAATAGGAGAATAACTCCAATGTTTCATGTTTCAAAGTAGGTGTATGAGCCATAGTATATCCCTCGGCCTACATGAAGGAAGAGGCAGATAAAAAATATTGATGCACCGTTAGCATGTATATAGCGGATAAGTCAACCATAATTTACGTCTCGACAGATGTGGGTAACTGATGAGAAGGCTGTTATGGTATCGGATGTGTAGTGTATTGCTAGAAATAATCCGGTAAGGATTTGGATAGCTAGGCAGAGGCCTAGTAGAGATCCAAAGTTTCATCATGTTGAAATATTAGAGGGCGCAGGTAAATCAATAAAGGAGTGATTAATAATTTTAATTAGAGAATGGGTTTTGCGGGTGTTTGTCATTAGTGTTTTTATAGTTGAATAACAACGATGATTTTTCATGTCATTGGTCATGGTTAGATTCCATGTAAAAATAATGACATATATTACGTACTTATTAAGTATACTTTTTGTTTTAGGCTTCGTGGGATTTTCTTCAAAGCCTTCTCCTATTTATGGAGGTTTAGGGTTGATTGTTAGTGGGGGAATTGGATGTGGGGTTGTGTTATATTTTGGGGGGTCTTTTTTAGGTTTAATAGTATTTTTAATTTACTTAGGAGGGATATTGGTGGTATTTGGTTATACTACGGCTATAGCAACGGAGGAGTACCCAGAGACATGAGGGTCAAATGTAGTCATTTGAGGGGTTTTGTTGCTGGGATTTTTAGCAGAGTTCTTAATTATTATACTTATAATTTTATATGATGAGGTAGAAATTGTAGTTGAGTTTAAGGATTCGGAGAATTGAATAATATTTGAAGGGGATGAGTTGGGATTAATTCGTGAAGATTCAATAGGGGTGGCGGCTATGTATAGTTATGGAAGTTGATTAATGGTTGTAGCTGGTTGATCATTGTTTGTTAGTATTTTTATTGTGATTGAAATTACACGTGGAAATAGAATATGGTTATGATTGCTAGGAGTATTGAAGTCAAAAAATGATAAGAAATATAGTTTGATGAGGCCTTTTTGGTTAGAGGTTATAGTAGAGGCTATTGAATGAAGATTAGCAGTAAATTTAGGGATAGTTTTTTCTAGTCAGATTAGGTCTAGAAGGGTTGATGATAATTTTTGGCTTATAATAAGGTTGAGATGGGGGTTAAGTCGGTGAATAATAGTAGGAAAATAGCCTAGTAAGGTTGAAAATTTTGATGTGCTTGAGTTTATTTGGTTTGAAGATAAAGAGTTATTGAGTTTAGTTCTATAGCAATAACAAACCCTAAGATGGTTACTAATAGTGCTGTAAGTTTTAGGTAAATAGGTATGGTTAGGACTGGAATATTTATAGGTGGAATATTGTATGAAAGGATAAATCCTGCAATAATGCTGCCAATAAGAAGGCGTTTAATTGAATTAAGCAGTTGAGGGTTATTCTCGTTAATTGAGGTTAGTGTAGAAAATCGAGGTTGTCCTATTAGGGCATAGAAGATAATTCGTGTACTGTAGACAGCGGTTAGGGAGGTGGCAAGGAGAGTAATAGTTAGGGCTCAGGCGTTGGTATACGACGTGTTAGCAGATTCAATAATTAGGTCTTTAGAGTAGAATCCAGTTAGGAAGGGAGTTCCTGTTAGTGCTAGGCTGCCAACAATAAGTGAAGATGAGGTAAATGGAAGGGCTTTAAATAAACCTCCTATTTTTCGAATGTCTTGTTTGTCGTTCAGGTTATGAATAATTGATCCTGAACATATGAATAATATAGCTTTGAAGAATGCATGTGTGCAAATATGAAGAAATGCTAAGTGAGGTTGATTAATTCCAATAGTTACTATTATTAATCCCAATTGACTTGAAGTAGAGAATGCGATGATTTTTTTAATGTCATTTTGGGTTAGAGCACAGATAGCGGTGAATAGGGTGGTAATAGCTCCTAGACAGAGAGTAAGTGTTTGAATAGTCTTATTATGTTCTATTAGTGGGTAGAAGCGGATAAGGAGGAAAATTCCTGCTACTACTATTGTGCTGGAGTGAAGTAAAGCTGATACAGGGGTTGGACCTTCCATGGCAGAAGGTAATCAAGGATGAAGGCCGAATTGGGCAGATTTTCCTGTGGCAGCTAAGAGTAGTCCTAGTAGGGGGAACATGTTTGCATGTTTGCAACTTCCCTTGCGATTCTTCTGCATCCAAAGTTTTGAGAATCATTGAAGAAATCATACAATTTGCAAGAAAAGTGGAGAAAATCTGAGATGTAATGAACATCCAGTAAGATAAGGCAATAGATCAATCACAGTCACTGACCTCAGCTACTGAATTTCTGCGGCAGCCCTCTAAGTTAGGGACGGACGATGTGGTATATTACAGGGAAGGAAATTCAGGCTCTGAAGGGCTCAGTGACATTCCCAAAGTCTCAGGACCATGTCGGATTTAGGCCCAGGTCCTTATGACTCCAGGGGCCACTCTCTACTGCACAGGGACCGTGTCTGGCTACAAAATCCTTGGAACTGAGCCTGGAAATGGGCCTGAGAGATTGACTGCTTCACTGGGGACTTTTGCTTTCTTTTCCTTCTCTCCTTCCTTCTTTTCTTTCTTTCTTTTTTTAAAGAGCTTTAAGAATAGAATCTGAAACTCTACGAAAGCACACTCCATTACGAGAATCAAGACTTCAAGTCATTTTTTTGTATGAGAATTCACACCCTATATGAGTCAAATGTATGATATGTCAAGATCATTGTATTATCTTGAGCAACTAATGAAAAAAAAAAGAAAAATCACTAAAGAATCTGAACCAGATGCTGGGGTTGTGGCTCAGGGGTAGAGCACTCGCCTAGGACATGTGAGGCCCTGGGTTCGATCCTCAGCACCACATAAAAATAAATAAATTAAATAAAGGCATTGTGTCCATCTACAACTAAAAAAATATTTAAAAAAAGAAAGAAAGAAAGAAAACTAGGGATGGAACCACCATTTGACCCAGCTATCTCTCTCCTCTGTCTATATCCAAAGGACTTAAAAACAGCATAGTATAGTAACGAAGCCACCTCAATTTCATAGCAGCTCAATTCATAGTAGCTAAACTGTGGAAGCAACTTAGATACCCTCCAATAGATGAATGGATAAAGAAACTGGTATATTTTCAGAATGGAATATTGCTTGGCATTAAAAGAGAATAAAATCATGGCATTTGCAGGTAAATGGATGAATATCATGCTGAGTGTATTAAGCTAATCCCCAAATCCAAAAGCCAAATGTTCTCTCTGACAAGTGGATGTGATCCATAATGGGGGTGGGGGTGGGGAGAATGGAGGAATTTGATCCGGCCAAGGGGAGGGCTGGAAGGGGAGAGGGCATGGAGGTAGGAAAGACAGTGGAATGAGACAGACATCATCACCCTAGGTCCATCTCTGACTGCACATGTGCTGCGACTCTACATGGTGTACAACCAGAGAAATGAGTAGTTAGTTGTGCTCCGTTTGTGCACAGCAAATCAAAAAGCTTTCTGCTGTCATGTGTAACTGATTAGAGCTAATAAAAAATAAATTTTAAAGAAAAGATGGAAGAAAGAGAGTGTGTGGAGTGATACCGTGACCCTTCTAGAGGGCAGGGCTAACATCTTCCCACCCCAGCACCCCGGACTTCACCTCTGGAGGTTCTCAGCATCTTGGATGGTCTCAGGCAAAGCAACGCCCTTGGTCTCAGGAAGAAGCAGCGTCACGCCTCCGGCCGTCAGGCCCAACACCCCTTCAATGAGACAGAT